CTATATTTAATTGATGTTCATAACTGTCTTTATTATTATTATACAGAGACATACTCCAAAATAAGCTTTTGTTTGTGTTCCTTCAAAGGATGCTTTGTAAAGCAGCAACAATTTAGTGTGCYACAACTTCCCTTCAGAGTTGCAAAGTTGCCACTGGTATTGCTGACAGTTAATTCACCAGTAATGACAAAAAGTTTTACTGTCAGATAACAAAATATTTCAAGAGAAGGTCTCATCCAGATTTGCCAGGTGATTACTTTTTGGGTGGTGGGGGTGGTGGTGATGGTTATTTTTTAAAAAGCTGGTGTGAAAGAGAATATACTTAGAAATAAGAGGAGGCATTACAGATATCAGGAAAAGGATTCAAGTTGTCTCAGAAAAATAAGAGAAGCACTCCTACACAAACAACTAAAAATGTCAGAAAAATATGGACAATGAGTTTTCTTCACAAGAACTATACTGGCATTGAAATTAATGAAAAAATAAACTACATGCTACTCTTTCTTAAAAAGAAACAAAAAGCAAATAATCTGGCAGGTGCTAGCAAAGAGAATCTAGAATACAGGAGGTACATAGAGATGTTATGTATATTTATGTATTTATATAGATATTAATTCATTAATACATCTTGGTTTGATGAGACCTCTGAGAATCTTGCCCACAAGAAGTCTGACATGCAAACAGAAATGCACAGAGCACTGACAAGCCTGGTAAGGGTTGAGGAAAATGATCTATGACAAAAGACTGAGGGAGTTAGCCTTGTTTATCTAGTAGCAAGAATGTTGAACATTTCAAATATATATTTTTATCCAAGTATCATCGCTGAGGATATTATTCCACGTCAATGTTTCTTTTTTTATGAGCGCTCAGTCATGACTTTCCACATCCCATATGTTGGTTCCCAAAGATATTGATGAATACTTGGTTCCAYGTGTCCAACAAAAGACAAAAGAAAATCAATGTAACTGACTATGCAAAAATCTTAGGGAATATTTAGAAGAATTTTCTTACTCTTCAGGTCTGAATTGTTAGGCTACCAAAAAAAAACCCCATCCCTGTATAGTCTCCTTCACCAGGACTTTTGATGAAGTTGGATGAATAGCTATAAARGATGGCGGAGTTTACTTCAGCTGGCCTCTGTGTGAGTGGTTTGACTATGGATCTGCTGAAGTTTTCTCCAGCCCTACATTTCAACAGATGAGGAAGGAAGAAGTCAGTCGAAAGGGTTCCATTACCTTTAAATGCTTCTTCAATAATAGTGTTATGCAAAGCCTGTTCGCTCCTGGACTTCTCTCCTTATTGATGATGATCATGTTGTACTCACCTTAATAATAGATAAATAGATAAATAAAGACAGAACTGTATGTAGAAAATGAAGTGGTCTTTGTCCAGAGCCAGTCCAGGGGAGGACAACCACAGGATAAAGGGGAAGCATGAAAAGAGATGTTTTCCCAAGTYTCCCTCTCCATCTTTCTCTTTTATGTTCCTTTCCTCTTGCAACAATAATGCTTCTCAGCAAACTTCCCCCTATATTAGAGACTCTTTCCTACTATACTTACCCAGGCTGTGAGCAGGTTTGCAGGAATTCTAATGAAAGTGGCTATAATGTAGAGGAGAGGGCATTTCCTATGAACATGACCTCTCCTTGTCTAAAATCTGTACATAACCCATCTTCATTAAATAGGTGATCAAGAACTGAAGATGTAGGGCAGTGTGTCTCTAACATTTTCAGAATAATAACCTTAGATAACCGGCATGGTTCCAAAATCCCTATGAATATATGCTATCACCATTTTCATCTTTATCTTGCATTGTACTTAAACATGTCCAAAAATGGATGCCAAATTGCTGCAATTATTAGTACCTATACAATTGTATTTTAAAAGAACTGTTAGGTTCTAAAGAACTGTTGCAAGAACTGTTAGGTTCTACACCTATTCATTCTTTTACCAAGACAGGAACAGGCTATGCAATTTTGAACTTCTGTGATAAAACTGCATGTGAGTGAAAGTACCCACTTGTTTTGGCTCTACCATGGTCAAATTCAGCTCTTTYCCTGTTATTGGCAAAATTAGAATGAACTTAGAAACTTATATGGTTCTTAATTTTTTGGAGATGTTTTTCCTCTACTGCTCATTCTTTGATATACTGAAACAAATAATGATATCCACTACTTACTTTTTACCAGAGTAGGCAAAGCATCATCACTGGTAAATGTTTTCCTTTGTAAGCTGCCAATGGTCTTGCTGATAGTCAAACATCATTGAAGTTTACAGTTGCCACTAAATATTTGTGGAACAGTGATCATAATTCTATAAACCTTATAACTTGCTATTGGAGAAAAGCCCCATATCAAAATGTCTCTACAACAGTCAATTTAGTATTTAGAGTGGAAACTTTGATCAAAGTTGGGGTTTTTTTGGTTGCAGTTTTTGTTTGTTGTGAGTTTTTTGTTTTTGTTGGGGGTTTGACAGCGTGTGTGTGTGTGTGTGTTGTGTGCATATGTGTGTGGTGCTGTTGTGGGGAGGTTTTAATACAGCAAGTCACCTATTTTCCTAAATTGAATGTTTCTTTTCTACTGGATGGTACTGGATGCCAACTTGCAACCTTTATCCAAAATATATTGCATCTCCAGGGATGTGAGGCTGCTTCTAAAAATTTGACTGCAATGAAGTTTGTAAATAGCAGTAGAAGAGTCAAAGCAGTAAAAGAATAAAAAWTAAAGTACATTTTAATGTGGAAGGTAAATATGCACAACTATTCTTTCTTGAAAGAATAGCATAGGGTCTACCCTTGCGATTTTATAGTTGCAAAGAATGTAAAGAAGAAAATTCGCCATTAATTGACCATGCAGCATTTACACAGATAAGTGAAAGGGACTCCTAAAATAAAGTTGAATGCACACTTTTCTCTAAAGAAAAGCTGAATGCGGAGACTCTCTGCCTCTGTTTTTGCATTAAAATGTTAATGCAAATTTTTTAGTATATGYAAGCTCAAATTAAACAGAATTACTTACACATGTGCTTATATTATATTCCCTTGGGTGGTCTTGCTTCGCTCTGTGAAACTATTCATGCTAACAGAGTTAAGCATGTGTACTCACAGGAAGAGAGTCTGAGGTCTGATAAATAAATCCTATTATGTAATATCTGATAAAGTTGTTTTTACACCAGTATCAAGCTTAGGGAAAAGGAACGCACATTACTGGGCCAGATCTGAGTTCACTGTCCTGCCACAACTGACTGGAGCTAAGATACTTTAGAGAAATTTATAGGTACATCATAATGGGAGATACGGGATTATTTTGCTCACAGTAGCCTTGTATCTCATTAAATTCTTGACTCCAAAGCCTTTCCAAGTCAGCAAATTCCATAATCCACAGTGGGTTGTTTTTTTTATTTAAAAACAAAATAGCTAATACAAACCAGAAACTTCCTTGTAGGCACCTTCTCATCTGTAAGATTCCCTCATGATTTTCTGTTACCAGACTGAGTGTGTAGTCATTCCAAACTTAATGTATGTCTTGCAGTTGCCCTGACACACTTAGCATAGCACATTAGTGTGCCTACTTTCTCATTTTTTTTTAATTTAATCATTTCTCATTCAAGCATTTGTCCATTCTTTTCCTCATTCTCAATTTGCAACATTCATCCTGAAATGGAGTTTCTAGTGTCATATGCTAAATATATTCAGTCAAATTCATAAATTCATCCATAAACACTAAATAAATCATTCAGAAATAAGCTACAGAACTTGGAATCACAGAAACATAGCTTTTTAAGGGGTTGGCATGGACATTAAAGATCACCTAGTCCCAACCCACCTTGCCATGGGCAGGGACAATTCCCACTAGACCAGGTGCCATGGCTGGGGCATCCACAACCTCCCTGGGCAACCTATTCCAGTGTCTAACCACCCTCAAAGTGAAAAATTTCTTCCTATTACGTAACTTAAACTTCCCCTCTTTCAGTTTGTACCCATTATTCATTGTCCTGTCACTACAGTTCCTGATGAAGCATGCCTCTCCAACTTCCCTCTTCCCCTTCAGATACTGGAAGGTTGCTATGAGATCTCCACATAACCTTCTCTTCTCCAATATTCCTCTCTTCCTGTACAGTGATRCATTTTTTTTCTTATTTCTGGCTTGTTAAATTTGTCTAGAATGTACACTGAGCTGTCTAGTGGTCATTCAGGTCCATTCTCTTTGCAAATGTCATAGAACCCATGTGTGGTTTTGCTAGGCATGTTACTTCTATGTGAACATCAAGCTTTGTTTGAAACATGCTTATCTTCCTCTCTAGTGTCTCAGAACTGGAAAGCAGCCGGTCAAGGTTCAGTACTGGCTCAAGTGTAACTTGCAAATTTAAGCAARACTTTTCAAACCCGGAATTGGGTCCCAATAACAGTTTAGGTTCTGAAGTTGCTTTTTTCATTTCTGGTTTTCATTTCCATGGGTGAGGGCGGTCGCTCCGCCTCAGGCGGCGGCACGGGTGGCACTGCGCTGTCCTGGCTCCGAGACACTCCCTGAACCAGGAGGTACCTCCCGCCTCTTCAGCCACCTGTACCTGTAACTTTCCACAACTGCTTAGCTTTGGCCGTTTGTTTTTTGTTTATTTGGGGTTTTTTTTTTCTCTCCTTTCTTGAAACGTGGGATGGTATTCGGAGCCTTTAGGAGTTTGGACTGCCGCTGTAAGGCGCTGGACGAACGAGAGGGCGATCCCCTCTCAGCGAGGCAATAGCCAACGTCCCGTGCTCGCAGCTCCGGCAGGAGCGCGGCTGCTTCCCGGTGCCGCCGCCCTCASCCTCACACCGCCCCGGCATTTTCCTTCCGCAGGATGGAGCCTCGGGAGGCGCCGGCAGCTTACCCGCGCACAGCGCGCGCCTTGGCGCCACTCGCGCGCACGGCGCACCACGCATGCGCCGGGCCTGCGTGTCCGGGCGGGGCGGCGGCTCAGCCGGGAGCGGGGTCTGCGCGCGTGCGCCGTGGAGCGACTGTGCGCGCTGCGCATGCGCGTTGGGTTCGGCGGCGGCGGCGCGGAGGAGCGCGGGCCCGGGACGCTGCGGGAAGGCCGCTGGTGTGTCTGTCCGTGTGTCCGGCCGTCCGTGTGTCCGGCCGTCCGTGTGTCCGGGACCGTGCGCTCCCGCCGCCTCCAGCCCTCAGCGCTCCCGCCGCCTCCAGCCCTCAGCGCTCCCTCCCGGGGCGGGCCTGCTGCCCCTGCCGCCGCGGCACAGGGGAAGCCGGGGAGCGACGTGAGCAACCGCCAGGATGAAGCTGGTGAGGAAGGACTTGGAGAAGGATAATGCGGGGCAGGTGACGCTGATCCCCGAGGAGCCCGAGGATATGTGGCACACCTACAACCTGCTGCAGGTGGGTGACAGTCTGCGCGCCTCCACCATCCGCAAGGTGCAGACCGAGTCGTCCACGGGCAGCGTGGGCAGCAACCGCATCCGCACCACCCTCACCCTCTGCGTGGAGACCATCGACTTCGACTCGCAGGCCTGCCAGCTGCGGGTCAAGGGTACGAACATCCAAGAGAACGAGTACGTGAAGATGGGCGCCTACCACACCATCGAGCTGGAGCCCAACCGGCAGTTCACCCTGGCAAAGAAGCAGTGGGACAGCGTGGTGCTGGAGCGCATCGAGCAGGCCTGCGACCCGGCCTGGAGCGCCGATGTGGCAGCCGTGGTCATGCAGGAAGGGTTGGCTCACGTCTGCCTGGTCACCCCGAGCATGACGCTYACTCGTGCCAAGGTGGAGGTGAACATCCCCCGCAAGCGGAAAGGGAACTGCAGTCAGCACGACCGGGCGCTGGAGAGGTTTTACGAGCAGGTGATGCAAGCCATCCAGAGGCATATCAACTTTGAGGTGGTGAAGTGTGTACTGGTGGCGAGCCCAGGCTTCGTGCGGGAGCAGTTTTGTGACTACATGTTCCAGCAGGCAGTCAAGACTGACAACAAACTTCTGCTGGAGAACAGGTCCAAGTTCCTACAGGTAAGGTGCTAAGCAGTCTCCAGAGTGGGTAAAATGAGGCTTGAGAGTAGTGTATAATTAAGGTAGTTACATGGGAAATAAGTCACCAAAGAAAAGAAATTTCTGTCTGTGAATCATGAGGAAATTAWATGCATTCCTCCCAAACTATAAGGGGGTTATGCATGGTACAAGGATGGGTGGTTCCCACCCAGGATGCCTTAATGTGGAGTAGAGAAAGTATTAGATATTTCAAACTCTCTGTGAAAGCATATTCACTCTTCAATTARGTGTGAAATGCAAGTTGGAAAATACTTTGCACTGTTGCTTTGTCACACTGTAGCATGCATGTTTAATAACAGCTTTCTAAAGCTTTTTTAAATTATCTGTATGTSATAGAGGTTAGTTAATTTTGTTGTTAGTTTTGTACTATACAGYTGAAGGTTGTGTGCCTTTTGCCTTACTTTTTAGTCATCTCTTTGATTGAATGGGTGGGTATGTTAGCCATATACTGAAACAGGCATATTCAGAGCCTAAAATAAGTGTTCTTAAGGATGCTTGTATAATTAGGTTGATGTAGGCCTGTAGTCTATGATCAGGGGGAGTGAAGTGTGTCCCAGTGCTTACTGACCCCAGTATTGAGGAGACCTTCTCTTCCATTTGTAGCAAAGTGATGATAGTGAGAAGTTTTAATGTACTTCACAGATTTGCAATAATAGTTGCACTGTATGCCTGCAGTCTTAAGGGCCCATCCTTTTCTTGAATGCTTTAAAAAAGAGAAACATAGATCTTTGTTTTTAGTAGTTTCATGTAGCCTTAGCTTGGCAACTGGAGAGTAGACTTTTAATGAGAGACAATTTTCTTGAGCTTCTTGAAAGGCAGTTTAAGGGATTTGGTATAGGCTTTGGGTTGCAGGAGAGATCCTTTAAGAAAAGAATCACGAATGTTTCAAGGAGATAAGTTCTCCAAATAAYCAAGATAATATTACATGTAGAAGAGGATGTTTGTGATTGGCTAATCAAAAAAATTGTCTTTTTCCTTTWAAAACACCAAATCTTTGACTTTGTTTTCACTCTAGGTCCACTCTTCCTCAGGACATAAATAYGCACTAAAGGAAGCACTCTGCGACCCAGCTGTAACTAGCCGACTTTCTGACACTAAGGCAGCTGGTGAAGTCAAAGCCTTAGATGACTTCTATAAAATGCTACAGCAYGAGCCTGACCGGGCTTTTTATGGCCTGAAACATGTGGAGAAGGCCAACGAAGCCATGGCCATTGATACCCTGCTGATCAGCGATGAGCTTTTTCGGCACCAGGATGTGGCTACCCGTGCCCGATATGTTAAATTGGTAGATAGTGTACGGGAGAACATGGGCACGGTTCGTATTTTCTCCAGCCTCCATGTGTCTGGAGAGCAGCTGGGCCAGCTGACAGGGGTGGCAGCCATCCTGCGCTTTCCTGTCGCTGAGCTCTCTGACCAGGAAGATGAATCTAGCTCTGAAGAGGATTGATTACAGTGACCTCATTTTACACTTTCTTTTCTATTTCATGTTGAAATGACGTTAAAGGCCCTCCTCTATACTGTGTGCAGATGTACCATGATATGTAATAATAAGGTTTTGATAGTAAACATAAACATGCATATAACTCTGCTCAGCGCAGAGTCTATGGTAGTAATCATTGGTATGCTGTGCTGAAGCTGACTGCTTTTGTAAGTTACATTCTGGACTACCAGCAGTACAAGAAACTAATTTGGCTCTGCAGTCTCATGCTGCTTAGTCTACATGTTAAGGCAGACTGCTATCTTAGTGAAATATGTAAGAAAAAATAGTGAACTAACAGGGACAAATTCACTTTCGACTATTTCTGTTCAAAGAGTCTGTTTGAAAAGAGTATTGCAAAACAAATGTAAACTTCTTWATGGAAGACCTGTCAAAACTGTTCTTGATCTTGATAGGAATTCCCTATTCTTCTTAAGATGTGTTAGGAATGGGGTCAACATCATCTCTTAAGGCTTTGTGTGGTGTTACMAGTCTAAGCACTAAAATATTTCTGTGAAACACTTGAAGCAGTCTTTCAGAAGCCAGATCCTTGAAGTTAACCATTTCTTCACTAGCATGATAGTAAATGCAGGACAAATGATGAATCTCAGTGCATTCAGKTTTGTATGCTGTTGTCTTGGGAGATTATCCTGAAGACTAACAAGATSTCATTGACTGCATTCTGCTCAATTGGCATTATTTAGCACTCAGTTCTGAGAAAATATATGAAAAGGCTTAGAAAATCAGGACTTTAGTTTCCRGAAGGAATCTTTTGAAAGCAAATAGTTTAGGTAAGTTCATAATCGGGTATTGTTCTATTTGCATATCTCTTATAAAAGCACATGTATGCTGTGATATGGAAATAAAGATTATAAATTAAAATTAYAAATCAAACATCATCTTAGGATTGTGGCAACTATAAAAGTGAAAATTACCTTTTCAATTATTTGATATGCTCAAAGTATTGAAAACCACAAAGACTTTATTTCTTCACTGAGCAGTAAACCTTAGGCTGAGGAYGCAAAAAGAGCTTTCAGGTTCAGACATAACCTGTGGATGTATTGTTTCAAACCAGTGTTTGATGATGTGTAAATTWAAAAAAATTAAAACAAGTATGTGATGGCTTATGTGTGTAAATAGGCATTCCTTTTTTGAATGTGGTAGAAGGTGAGAACAGGAACCACAGAAGTAATATGGAAAATGTTGTAACAGTGGAACGTAAAACAATAGAACCATCAAAATTCCTCGTCTGGGTAGAACAGTTTTAGGAAAATAATTTTTAAGGGTAGTCCCCAATGTTCATGGTGCCAATCCGCTGAATTTAATACTATCAGCAGCTGAAACATCAGTCTAAACTTCTTGATGGAGAAGTACTTTTCAATTAAAGCCATCTCCCCTTTTTCCACATCATYCATGGTGTCTAAGGAATTCTTGGACAGAATGTATTAGAGCTGTAACACTGATTCTTCTTTCACCGAAGACAAGCAAGCCCATTAAGACACTTGTTTACAGTCAGCTTGCACAGACAAATTATGTTACTTGAACTTTACATTTTTGTCTTGAATGGTATTGCGTGCCACAAGTTATAGAATGCTCAGGTAGGCTTTCTTCAGCAATTAAGACTGCTTCTAATTTATTTTTTTTTAAATTCGCCTGAGTTGATTATACACTTTTGCAGCTAGATTCCTGCTATATCTAGTTTAATGTGAAGAACATAGGGAACAGAAGAAAATGACCACAGATATTAATTACATGCATCAAATTATGGCCTAAATAAGCTAWTGTGTAAACAAGTCATTAATTTCTCCAAGCTGTTATAACACAGGATGCTATATTACTATATTCCCTTTTTCTAAGTAATGCCAGTTTGTTGCAATTGTACACAACTGACACATTCAAATTTGTAGTACACCAGAAATTTTTAGTTTATTTCTCAGCAAACTCTCTGAGAGACAAATCAAACTCTTCTTTTGGTTGTGGGATGGATTGCTATTTTATCAGACCAAGTTGGATCCAATTATTTTATTTCAAACCAGAAGTTATAAAGAGTTTTTGCTGTGTACTACAAGATTACAATGGCAATTTTGTGTTTTGTACCTGTAGTTATCACCAAGGAAGAGAGATGGCTATTTTGTTGCATATTTGTTTTTACTTCATCTGCTCAGAGAATGAAAATAGCAATTCTTTGAATTATTTACACTTAGAATTAAAATTCTGCCATGACTTCATATTTGGTGGGGTTTTTTTTTCTTCTTTTAGCTATTGCTGTCATGTTATTAAGTTATTAAGAAAGAAATACACATAGAGTTGTCCCAAGTATGGAAGGGTGGGATTTTTTTTTTTTTTTGTAAGCATTTTGGTAGTAAAATAAATATACAATCACTATGTATACAAATGCATCCTGTTTCAGGAAACAGCTTAAGGACTTGGTATTGAAAGTAGGCTGTGTTCAGTAGTTGCAGATGCTTGACCTGGCCAGGTTCCAGGGTTGTTAGTATCTTCCACATTTCAAAGAATTTTGATTTAGTTAAAAAGTCYGTGTTTTACAAAGTTGCTTGCTCAATGCAATGCTCGTGTGTGCGGATAACACTTGTACAGAAGATGTATGCTATCAGCAGATGAAAAGAGCAAGTGCTAGACCCATGGGAAAATAGTTTTTGCTGTTTTGCATTAAACTTGCATGAACTAAAAAATATATTTTGAAGTGTCTCYATTTAGTTTAGGATTACATTCTGACATAGTTCTGTGAATTAATAATGTGGTTTAGCTTCCAATTTTAAAGTATTACAAATAAATGAAGACTCATTTTAGGACTTCTTAAAGCTTGTTACATGTGGTAGGAAGAAAGCTTTATCATGAAATCAGATTGACCAGAGCCCTTCTGTGCTATACAATGAATCAAATAAATTTACTAATTTATTTATTTGCCCTCTTGCAAAATTGAATTTTGGAACAGGGCCCAGTTTGTTAGTTCTGTCACCTTTGGCATTGAAATCCACTTACCATATACATTTTTTGTGGTTGTGTATCGATCAAAGTTTGGTGCAAAGTCACCACCAGCTAGGGACCAAAAYAATCCTACTAATTACAAGGCAAAATAAAAGATAAATCTTTCAATAAAATATTTRACAGTATTTGACTAGGGAATTCCTCATCTCCCTCCTCCTATCTTCACCCCTGTATAAGTAAAATGTTATTTCTAAATGATCTTYGGACCACCAGTGTAACAAGATGCAGAGCTCTTCAGTTTAACTTGTGAGTAACTGGTTTAATTTGGGGTGGGACTAGACATGTTTTTAAAGCCATGTAAATGTCTAAAGTAACTTTCATTTGCTACTGTTTCTCAYAGGTTAAGTAAATTTTAGAACTAACCCTTCGAAAATTTCTCAGTTTGCATTGTTCAGTGAAGGTATATTATAGCTCACTTCTCATTGGACTGATTTATCTTGACTCTCAAATTTCTTTCTGGGAGCTGGATTATACATCCATGCATCTCTTAGATCACCCAGTCCATTCACTTTTCTCTGAGATTTCCACAGCACTATTTTTAAAGAAAATAAAGCCCATTTTATAAAAGGATCGACACTGAGTTTTGCAGGAAAAATCCCATATTTTCAGGATGTGGTGYTTTTTATTTGAAGCCGTATTTCTACAGCATGTGGTCTATTGCTTCTGCAAAAGATATAATATAGCAAATTTTAAAATGTGAAACTGCAATTGGAACATCTGCAATTAGGAATCCTTTTGTATAACCTAAAACTGAAATCCCTAAAACAGACAGAACAAAAAAAAATGAAGGCATTACTTCAGGAAACTACTTATTTATGTACTTTTTAGATATGGCAAAAATTCAGATTTGATTTTTTTCTTGCACTGGTTGCCCTCTGCCCTCTAATTTTTTCCATTGCCCTCTGCCCCCTAATTTTTTTAAGATAAAATGTTAGTATAATAAATTTTAGAATTATTTTCTTCAAATGCAGAGCTAGTTGCAACTGAGGTGGTTTAGGTAGATAATTATTAAAAAAAAAAAGTTTTTCAAGTCATTCTAATGCAGGGAATAGATATATAGATATATGGGAATTCCTTTCTCATTTCTTACTCAGTATACACCTGCAGCTTGTTACAAAGTGAATGATAAAAGCTTTGATTCTCTTAGGACTGAAGATTTCTCAGTTCTGATTTGATTTAGCAGATGGTGGGAAGAGAATGGTGACAGGGCATTGGACTAGATAATTCTTCAGTATCTGTGTTTCTCCTGTAATGATCACAACTGGCTTTTAAGAACTGTTTTGTTCAGATTTTGTATGGGGAAAAAGTGTTTTGAAATTTCATTCTACAGATTTAGGGTTAACAAAATGCCTAACCATTTGGGTCTTGTGATAATTACGATTCTTTATTCAGTCTCTGACACGGGTTGAGCCTGGGCTTTTTCAGCAGCAGAAAGAGTAAACAGGTTGTGAAGCTTCTTGTGTGACAGTTGCCTAAAGACTTGCTAAATAGTGTAATGTTTAGTCCTGCCACATTTCTTATGCTTGAGTCAAGTAGGGCATTGACTTGGATTTGAGGATAACTGCTTGCATGATACAGAATTTAGAGGAAAGAAATGTCTTCAGTCTAATTACCAAACTGCATATCCTCTGAACTTGTGAACTTGATGGTTTTAGAAATGCTCAATGGCTTTTCTGTGAAAAAATTGACTCTTAAGGTGTCTTAGCCTAGAATAAAGTTTGAGGGAAAAGTTTTCTGAAATCATAGTTGTTTTTTTCTGTTGTCTGAAAATAGTTCTCCCTTTTGTCCCACTTAATCAGAGTAGCCCTTTCTTCCAAGTCAGTGTCTTCTGGGAAATGCAACATGAAGCAGCAACTTTCAAGCCCTGCCAGCTCTTGTCAGTTTTGCTATATCAATCTTTATTTTATTGCCTTCGTTTTGGGAAATGCTAAATTCACAGCTAATGTAATTCTGTCAAGCTGCTCTAATAATTATTTAGAAGAAGAAGAGAATTAGAGCTGATCATGTATTCTCTGGCAAACTGGCTGTTCCATTATGTTAGAGAACGTTAATTAGTTGAAACCAGTCCTCCTTTTTAGGAATGTGCATACCAGACATGATGGGAAGTGTTTTCTCTGGTCCAGAATGGAATTTCTAGTCTAAGCCAAGCCTGGAATAATGAAGGAAGAGTGTAGGGGTTCAAGGAGTCATAGGGAACAGATAATACAAAGCTTAAGACCATTTTCTCTTTCATAGTTAACACTAGGCTCAAGGTGCTCCTTTTTCAGTCAGTGTCATTGTAAGTAAAACGCCACATTGAGAAAGTAAATATGCTTTGAGATATTTAAATTACAATTGGCTCAGGCATATGACCTCATGGATGAGGGAGGCAGTTTTCAGACTTCTGGTGTAGATGTGAAGGGGAAATGATTGAAATTCGGACTTTTCCTAGCAAACACATTTCAGCTGTAATTTTCACATTTCAGAAAAAAAGCCCTGAATAGAGTTCTATGTTTCAAAAGGATTTTGGACCTGATGGCTACCAACAAATCTGCTTTTGAAGACAGGCAGATTCTTTCCCATGCAGTACCTTTTGTTTGATAAGAAAAAATGCTTTTAGCACACTTTTTAATTGAAAGGGTTTGTATGAAAAGATGTGTGTGTGTGGTAAGGGAGAAATCTAACTTGACTTTTCGTTTGTAGTTGCTTTGGTAGCTAAAGGATTGGCTCAGGATGCAGGGCTGATAATTATCTTCAAGACTCAGATCTGTTTACTGTAGGAGGAACTTGGTAGCAAGGGATAAATTCAGGAAGTCTGACAGTWGTTGAATACTTGTGGGCGTTTCCTTCAATGGTTTCTGAAGCTCTGAAAGCTACAGCAGGATTTGCTAAAAAATTGTGTTTTGACTTACAATCTTTAGTCTGGTGACTTCAGGTGTTTTAGATAGTTTCATTTAAGTGTGAGAAAAGTTAAGTAATTGCATTTGTTTATCTTACACAAACAGGTGCAATGAGACCACTTCCACTCCCATTTGGTAAAGAGAACTGCCATATCCCGTATAATTTATTCCTGTTCTGAGTGGAAATTTCTGTTCTGAGATAGGTTGTTTAAGAGAAGTTGAAATGGGCTTTGCAGACACGGTGCCGGTGCCGGGTGAACGCTGGCCATCTGCCAGGGCAGTCAAGTCTCCTGGGACACTGCTGCCCTCGCTGCAAGGCTTTCACGAGCCTTGTAGGAGCTACTGGGACAGCAGTGGTGAGAGGCAGAAAAAGAGCAGCTGTCTCCTGAGGGAGCTTTTCCAAGTTCCTGAGCTGTGAGGAAAGATGAAAAGCGATGGT